CTCTGTCCTGTCAACTGTATGGAACTGAGCATGAGAAAGAAGTTTCCTGACGAGAGAAAGCCTATGACATTAGGCTCCAAGAGAAAGACCTACTATAATTTGAGTTTAGGGAGTTTATTGGAGAATTTACACTAGGTAATGGGAAAGTGTTTTGAAAAAGAAAATACAGGCTTCAATAGTGAGTAGGATATACCCATGGACAACTGGGGCTCAGTATCCCATAGATGAAATGGCACAACTAACTCCATTTTGTTCTAGCTGACTTTTGCTTTACCCTATATTTTTGCCCAGTCATTCCACTGCAGTTAGCCAGACATACCGTCTCATGTAGGTAGTTTTAGGGATTATATTGTTTCCACAATACTGGGAAACTTACAAGTAGAAGGTAGCATGTCCTCCCACCAAGCCTAACCAAAACTTTTTGTTAACTGAAAACCTCCTTGGTAACTGGTTTGCCCCTACTCTGGTGTAACTATCGTGATCTGATGTAATTATGGTTACTGACTTTGCCCTTGGCATGATGTAGTTGTAATTATGCTTTATAAAGCCTGCCCTGCTTCTCCTAGGGGTCAAGAGTTCTTTGGGGCATTAGCCCCTCTCTGACTGTTGGATATTAATAATTAACTCCTAATTCAACCATCACTATGCAGTATGCCTCTGTATCTTGCTCTGTATTTGGAGGCCCCTGAAAGAGCGCCTCTCAGGGACTCAGCCTCAATCCAGATCTCCCCAGCTTGATCAATCGTTGCAGGGGTGGCACCCTGTGAGATGTCCAGGGTAAAGGAGTCCTGGAATGACTTCTGCATGACCCTGGAACCAAAACTGATTGACTCCTTCTGGTCTTCCTAAGAGGTAAGTTCTGATACTGATTTAGAGCTCCATTCTGATCTTGGTGTGTCTGCTCTGGTCTGGTGTATAATAATAGGAGTGTGATCTTGACAAAGAACCTCCCCTGACCTTGCTCTACATTCAAGACTTTTGCTGAGAGGGTCACCTGATAAAGTGATGCACCATTAGAAACTGGTTACTATGTTCATGTCTGTTTTGTGTATATGAATAATTGTATGACTAAATAGTGATTAGGTAATTGAACAAAGTGAGTTCTGCTCTGGAAAGCACCTGTTCAAAGGGTCCTGTCTTTTCATTAGAAACTGGCTACTATGTTCATGTCTGTTTTGTGTATATGAATAATTGTATGACTAAATAGTGATTAGGTAATTGAACAAAGTGAGTTCTGCTCTGGA